TAATGCTTTTGTAGTTATTTTCTTTAAAACAATGTATAATAAAACAATTATTAGATTCGGTTTTTGTGATGTCCGAAATAATCAAGGTCTCGGTTAGTGTTATCAGTCTCAGCCTTCGGCTTCGGCTGATAACACTTACCTCGACCTCGGTTATTCCGGATATCACAAAAACCTCATCCAATAATTGTTTATAATTCAGTCCTAATTCTATTACAAATCTTAACGTAACATTTCGACTCCGGATGGGGAACACCAACAACATGTTGCGGAGATGGTGAAGGCACTTTCTTCTCCACTAATTCCAAGTCAAATCTACATAGGAGAACAGATACAAACATCTGTATTTCCATCATGGCAAAGGAACGACCTGGGCATTGAAAGCGACCGCCGCCAAACGCAATGAAGTTATCGCTTGAAGTGGATTTATCTGAGCCTGCAGTCTGAATCCAGCGGCCAGGGACGAATGAATCTGCATTCGGGAACGTGGTCTCGTTTCGATGTGCCCAATAAGGCGAGATCATGAGCATGTCACCAGCTGGAATTGTTAAGCCCTGCACTCGAATGGGTTGTGTAAGTTTCCTTGCAATCATTCCAGGTGAGCGCAGGCGAATGGCTTCCAGAATACACCGCTCAACTATCTGTAATTTCTTGATNGTCTCTTTATGAATATATATTGCTGGCGCATAGCAACAAAACATGGCGGGTCATCTTTCCTTGCAAACAATTAATCTGACAAGAAATTCATCAACTTTAAGGCCTCTAGAGCCCAATGTACAACCCAGATTTTACCAGTATTCTTCTGTAAATGAACACGAACACATGCATGATCGATGAATAATTACTCTTGTCTTGTGTCTTGCTTTCCGCGGTCATCAGCAGTGTTGTCAGTGCATTCGTGTATTAACACTCTTGTCTGTCCCCTCTAGAAACCCTCCCCCCTTGCTCTCAGAATTCCAATCAAAAGTATCCCCCATGCCTTTGGATTTCCAGTTCAAAGAACTCCCCTTGTCCATGGTTTTCCAAAAAGCCACCCGTCGTATAGGTGTCAGAGGTATGGCTATTTTCTGGAATCATCCAATATTCCAATTTTCAGATTTTAACTCATATAAATTAAGTAAAAAATAATCGGCAATAAGGCATCCCTCGAGTCCATGTAAATGGGGGCTCTTTTAAAACACAGGGATTTTTAGATGTGCAGACTTCTCTCAGACTCTCACAGTTATGGCTACTCACTCAATTTCATATGTGAAAAAAAGAAAAAAAATCCGTAAAACATACCTTGCCTAATGTATTCCTCTAATTGTTTACCAACTTTTGGAGCTAATTTGTGCAAATTGGAAGAAGACAGTCGCCCCTTGACCAGGTCATGGATTTTACGATGATTTGCAAAGAAATCGATCTTGTTTATTCCTGCTGTATTCTTCACCGCTTCTTCAGCGGCTCGCTGAAAGTCTGCTTGTGGAGAGTTAAAAAACACTTGAAAGTCACTGACATCGGTCAGGAAAGTCATCCGCTGTCCAGCGGCATAAACTGTGAAAATCACTCCGTGCGTCTCGCTTGATTTCTTGATGAAGAGCAAGGGCGCTTTTCCAAACTCGATCGCACATCCAAGCCAAGGGATCCAACCTTTGATAACCGGAGGGTATTTGACGTTCTTTGTAGCCAAGAAATTAAGCGACAATAAGGCAATTACAAGAAAGCCTACAAAAAGCAGGGCAGGTTGCAAAAGCTCAAGAGAAGCCGCCATGTTGGTTGTCCCAAAGAATTATGGGAACAGCAGCACTCGCAAACAGAGTGAGATCCGGGTACCGTTTTGGCTATCTGGCTGGGCTACACCCGGGAGCTACACCCGGGAGCTACACCCGGGAGCTACACCCGGGAGCTACACCCGGGAGCTACACCCAGGGGCTACACTCGGGGGCTACACCGTCTCAAGACCTTGTACATGTTGTAAAATTCCCAAACTTTACAAAATCGTATGTTGATGCTTCACTGGTTTTAGACTGGGCTAAACTCTCGCCCTTTGACTAGGGCCAAGGTCCATGACCCAGTTGATAACGAATAAATATTAGAAAAGTAGTTTATTAAAACTCTCTTGCAGTAAAACAACTGAATTAACGAGTACATTTTCAGTTGGTTCAGTTGTTAGAAATGTGGATAACGCAGGACCGTAACCAGGATTTTCAAAGAGGAGGGGGTGGGGGGTAACACTGTGTCAAAGTGAGGCTACTCACCAGATTTTCATGTCGATCTCCACACCTGTTGTAGGTTGTTGTGGGGGGCCCACAGTGCCTCACTCCACCCAGGCTCCAGTTGTTCAAAGAGTGAATGACGCTACCCACCGGATAAATCGCTATCCAGTGGATAAATGTTCACAAAACAAACCGCACTATCCGCTGGATNCCAGGAATTCCCCCTAGGTACGCCCCTGTAACGCTACCCACCGGATAAATCGCTATCCAGTGGAGAAGTGTTAAGAAAGCCAATCACGCTATCCGCTGAATAGTGTTTTATCCGGTGGATATCGTTATCCACCTTTCGAACAACCCGGGCCGGTTTTTTTTTTTTTTGTTTTGTTTTCTAATGTTGTTATGTTTATGCTGTTATGTTGCTATTATGCCACTATGTCAGCATGTTCACACGCAAACAGCAAACATGACGTCATAATGTCCTTCTTATGTCGTTATGTCGTTTGTGTGAACTA